ATGACTTGCGATCAGAGTCATGGAACGGATTAAGTTCGTAAGTAGAGGTACCACTGTATAACTGTGCTACTTATTAACTTTAATGTACTTACTATCTTCCCCTGGACAGGGCATTCCAGGCCTTTCTGGTACACAAGGAAACACTAGAGAGGAAAGGAGTAATACTAGGTTAGTGAATACTTCAAGGATGTGAGAAATGACAATAAGCAAGAGGTTTGATGCATCATTAAAATTATCAAACTGCTTGCTTGCATGATTTGTGAGATAATTTATGTAGCTATATTTTAATCTAAATTAGTTTTTCCCCTCAAAGGGAGCTGAAAAATAATCTGAAAACCTACATCAAACTTGACTGTATCTAGGGTTACATCCTTCTAGACCCATAGTATTCAAACTGTGTTTCCCGGAATCCCAGGGTTCCATGAGAATCATCCAGGGATTCAACATGGCAGTTTCTGTTTACGTTGTGTGAAATGTATTATTGCCACATTAATTGTAACATTTTGTTGAAATATAATGTATTATATGAAATATATTTATTAATCGGTTCTATGTTGATTTTTCACATTGAGAACGGTTCCTCAGGTATCTCAAGTTTGAAGACCGCTGTTCTAGACCATATTGTATTATGTGCTTTGCGACATGTCAAGTAGCAATCTCCAGTATGATTCCTAAAGAATATATTTGAGTTATTATATGGGTCACAGTTACTCCAAAAAAAATAAAAATAGTAGAATTAAGGAACTGTACATATTTCTCTTTCTACTATCAACCCATTACTAAGATAAAATAAAATCTAGAATTACTGCTGAAGAAAAAAGGGTTTCAAGCATCTCCACATTTTGACCAGTTTCTATTCTAGGCAGAATTATCTGCCTGTTCCACACTATTCAGCTCCACCTCTCTAATCTTTGGAGAGACAGAGGTGGAAGAACTGGATTATCCCATGTTACCATGTATTAGAAGTTCAGAATCCTTATTTAATTCGTATAGACGAAAAGCCTCTTCCAGTTCCAGCTGGGAAGAAACAGTACATGGATCCCCTAAAAAAAAAAAAATTAATTCAAGTTTATTTTTTATTGAATCACATATATAACCTGCCACAATCCAGACTCTCAGTGGCTTCCATGATAAACTAAACTTAAAATCAAGAAGGTTTTAACTTTCAAATTATCTTTTTTCTTCCACAAAGAATCAAATCAATCTTTATTATGGCCACAGACCAGCATAATTTCCACAAATATATTTTCTTCAGAGTTCTTGATCTTGTGATTTCATAGGGTAATTGTACAACTTAAACAAGGAAACAAGTATTTACTTTAGAAATATTTTGCTTCAATGATACATCTGTTATTGCAATACCCACCCTTATTTCCTGGATAAACTAAATGTGTACCAACCTGTTGCTAGAGTTATATTTCTTTTATAAACTGATTAATGTGTCAGGCTGGGTATTTTCTATGAGAGCTTCTCATGAGAGTATTTTTTTTATTTAGGAACATGTTTAGGAATTCTCAGAGCTATCCTAATGCTTCTGTTCTATCAGAGTGTCCAATTACATCATGGATGTGAGTTTATGAATGAAAAATCCATCGAAAAGATCATGCAATTCATTCTTCAATGATCAGCAATCTCTGCTGCCAGCAAGTCTTCTTCTCAAGAATATTTACCACATGGTTGGTACTGGTGATGAACTTTTAATTCTGCAAGTATGCATACTTTTCCCAAGGACTAATCAGAGTGTGTGCATACACATAGCCTATATGTGGATATATACGAGGGTCTAATCAGGATGAATGCATATATGTTATGTGGGGGTGTGTTTATTTATTTATTTTCACTGGGAAGCACAGGGTAAGCTACATATGCTTCACAGAAGTCACATGATATGAAGGTATGAATGGGGGACTCAGAATGGAGTAGTTGGCATCATTCTGAGCCACTGCCCAATACATTCCTAAGATAATTTAATTCTGAATTTTTTTTCTCCACAGCCCCTGTACAAATGTGGCCCATTTTTTAACTTAACCTTTCTTTGGCAGATTCCCTTCCTGTGTCATGTTTGGACCTGTTTGGTTTTTGGAAAGTTAGCTTGCCAAAGGATGGGCAGAATCCTAAGCCCCTTCCCCTAATTCATTTCTAACATTCCAATGGGTTGGGAAAAAATGATAAAGAATAACATTTTCAGAACATTTAGAAATGTTTTTATTAATATATCATTATCATTTGCAAATTAAATTGACCTTGAAATTTCAGTTTTACTGTACTTATTCCTTAATTTTCAAGAATAGCCTGTGAAAACAATATTTGAAGCATATTTCTTCTTCACAATAATTATTTTCTTGCTCCTTTTCTCCTGACCACTTTTATAACAATTATGTCTTACATCTCATCCTCTAGAGTGTTGATGCTACCAGCTGTAATTTATTTACAGGTGTTCCTCCTTTAACGACCAATTGTTCAGTGACCGTTCGAACTTACGACAGCGATGAACAAGTGGAACTTATGACTGGTCCTCAAAGTTCCGCCTGTCACAGCGTTCCCGCAGTCATGGAATACAATCCAGGTGCCCGGCTCACAATTACAATGTTGCAGTGTCCCACGGTCATGTGATCGCCATTTGCAACAAGCAAAGTCCATGGGGAAGCCAGCAGGAGGTAACAAATGGCGACCACATGACATCGTGCTTAACAACGTCGTGGGACTCGCTTAACAACAGCAACTAGAAGTGCCAGAACTGCCGTTGCTAAGTGGTGCGGTCACATAATGTCACGCTTTACAACCATGTTGCTTAGCAATCGAAATTCCAGTCCCAGTTGCCTTGTTAACCAAGAACCACCTGTATTTAGATTTATATGGCTGCCTAATTTGCAAAACTCTTGGTGACTTACAGTTTGAAGAAACATGAAAACAAGGAGTTAATTTTTAAAAAACTATATAAAATAAAATAATTAAAAAATACAACAGTGGAATAACAGAAGTAACAATAATAACAAAGCCAACTGATGTCAACCAAAACATACCTCATTCAAGGGTTTTACATTCTATACAGGTTCATCCCATGGTCTGGCCCAATGCTCGGGGGAAAAGCAAGACTTTAGGGCTTCAAGGAAGGACAGAAGGATAAATGCCATCTGAACCTCAGGGTTCTGATACAGAGAAGACATGCCCACAGGGTCTGACAATGTGATGTTGTGTCATGGAAGGGACCCAAAGCACGCCCACTCTGCCAGATTTCATGGGCAAAGCAGAAACAATTCATATATTTTGTTGATGTTAAGCATTATGTTCCCTTTGTTTATTTTGGGTGTTTGGTAGTGGGAATTTTTTTGGTTGAGGAAGGTAGGCCTATACCTTGAGTCTTTCCTTCCAACATACCCAAATGGCTCCTGCTTTTAAACAATCATTTGGACATTCATTTGAAAGATATTTATCATTCAAAGTTCAAGGATTAAATTTCCTTCTTTGCAGCTTTTTAAAAAAGGAATTAAACAAGGCCAGTTAATACAGGCACTGAAGCACCTAACATAATGAATTCCAGATATTAAAAAAAGAACTTTTATTAGGACACATTTAGAGAACAAACCTGTTCTTCTTCAAGCAGAACTACAGAACAGTTTTTTAAAAAATACAATGCTAATCTAAGAGGCATGTTCTCAAATACACCTGAGGGCACTTGATGCCTATAATCCTCCTGGAATTAATGCTTATTTTCTTTAACAATACTTCTATGCATGCCAAAGTTTAAAACTTTCCTGTTCTATCTAACCATTGCCACAAAATCCTTCCTCTTATCATCATATAAGTAGCAGGAAAAAGATGTATTGTCGAAGGCTTTCAGGGCCGGCATACGATGGCTGGTATGGGTCTTCCGGGCTGTGTGACCGTGTTCTGGAAGTTTTGTTTTGTTACACACAGATTCTGACACCAAAACAAGCAGCCACTCAGTAACCCAACCTCCCCAACCCCCCCTTCCCCCCCCCTCAGATCTCTATAAATACCCACAAAAGGGTCACATCATCCTG